GTACCGCGACCAAGATGTGCCTATTACAACAGCGTGTCTGGCACCGAAAACATATTCAGGCTTAAAAACACGGTGAACTGTACGTTTGGAAACGTTACCTCGCTCCTCTGTCATTTACTACCAACCATTCAGTCTACCGGACTCCTTCAATCTCATCAACAAACCGGACCAAACCAAAGCAACGTGCCACAATAACCATTGCTCGTCAACGTTCAGACACGGGTTAGGCCGCAATACTGTTTCGGTTGGTCTGCGTCTATTTTTCGGCAAAAATACCTGAAAATAACCATCATATCCACTGCCCTAACTCTCACAGTAATAATTTCGGGGTGCTAAATTTACCTTTGCATCGACACACATGGCTTTCTCCGTCTCACAACACTGTACGATTACAGGAAACGGCCAGGGAAGAGCAGGAACTAACATTCTTGCCAGAGAAAGCGTAGAAAGCGTGCCCCTCGGATGATATCAAACGCTGATTGGTCCATTTTCTTCCAAGCCGGCAGCATACTGCTATTTCATTGGCTGTACGAGCTATCCGTCATATGTACGGCCGCTTCTGGGCGGGATGAGAGCCATAGTTAGGGTGAGAAAGCGATAAATGCGGCCTAGCTGGGACCATTTCACTGGGTGATCTTCAACATTGCTGTTTTACTGCCATAGATGCTCACATTAGGAAGCGCAGGCCCCGTAGAGCTGACTGGAGAAAAATAAACGATGTTTTCATCATCTCAAAGTGTTAATGGAGCACACAACCGAACAGCCCTGTGTGTGAATTACACTGTCCGTTTGTTTCAGGGTTTTATTACATTGGCTACAGCTCAGGCATCATCTTCAGCTTGTGATATTGCTTTATTACTTTCTAAAAATATACATCCAGACCACATGGGCACATTGATTTTTGTCCTTCATTTTTGGTAATTATTTCATTTTGAGATCTCAATAAAAGCTTTCTTCTGGGCACCAACGTGATGACTTGTGAGCTCGCTTGGGTGATTCAGTTCTATGTGACTTGGGTTTTGGCGCCCTCTAGTGCCCACAGGCTGAAATGTGATTCTGAGCCGCTGTGGCTGCTTTATTATTTGGATTGTCCTTCTTCTTTTTGTGTATTGTCTGTGTGCAGGTTTTTGCGTGGTAATCTGAGTAATCACAAATCAATTTAAGAATATGCTCAATGTTAGCACAAATGTACTTAAATAATAAACAAAAACCTTACGACTAGAACTTGATACAGGTCAGGGCCTCAAGATCAGGCAATAAAGATGTCAAGACCCTTATGCGGTCAGATGATAATTTTTTTATTCATGCACATTCTCAAACAAAGTTACAATTTACCACAAAGCAACCGCCGCTTTTGCAGGTCCTTCAGGATCAGGGGCCCCAGACCAAGTTGCCTGTCTTGCAAATTTGGTAATCCAGCCTTGATTTCTATATCATAGTTACCATTTCTGTTCTGAGCTTAAATATCACAAAATAAGATGTGATATTACATGGTTAAAAAATGGAAAAAGATTCAGAGAGTTTACGCAGAGGAAATAAGGACACCACGATCAGAATAACATAAAATATGTCCACAAGCTCTCCCATCTATTACCATTAAAGCTTCTTCATTCAGTGCATTAATGTGACACCACAAATTAATGTCTTGGTTCTCCATTCCCAGGAATACTTACTGGCCTGTCCTAAAATCAAGAAAGTGTGATTCTGATAGGAGACAGACAGACAGAGAAACAGAGAAAGAGAGAGAGATTGTGGTCATGAACCAGGGAAGCGTAAGTGACTGCGTGTGACAGCACACCACACTTTATCCATGGTAACCCTGTAGAGAGGAGCCTGCCTGTTCGCCAAAGCCTCCATCTGTCTGCGGCCCTGCAAGGAGTATCCGCTATTCACCACACTTGCACTCTGCCCCATGCTGGTCTGCTTGGTCCACGCCAACGCCAACTCTGCTGGTGAGGGCTATATTTACAAACAGCTGCCGTGGCAATGAGTAGAGTACCATGAGAGGAGGGAGAAATACTGTTTTGCATGAGCAGATTAAATAGCCACACCCCTAACATAGTCAAGTATCAACTCAGTTATTTCTCTATGTTAGTCTAGCGATGATTTATAAAATATTGTCAGTCTTCAAATGTTGCAAAGGGATATTTGACAATTCATGTAAAAGCAATACACTGAGCCAACCATATATGATTTTATTTGAATATGTTCTCCTCAATAGAAATTTCTGTGTAAATAAACATTTGTTGCAGGAGATTTAACAGGCATATAGAGGGGCATCAGTCATACGACACAGCAGAGTAAAGGGCAAGTTTGGCAAGTTTGTTAGCTAGACAGGATGCCATGTGGAGAACAGCAGTGTTTCAAACATTGTGAATAAAAAAAAATCTTAGCACAGAAGCCCACATTGCACATGGCTACTTTTTTATCACAATTAAAATATCTCTTATACAAACCCAACTAATATGTATGCACAGAAACAGCAAATTAAAGCCACAGATAACTTTACTGAATGTTTCTGCTTCTTTTCCCACTTTTTTTCTTTTGGTCTCAGGTGAAAATTATCTTAATTTACACAATCTTTATCTCAATTATATATATTTTTTTGCATAAAACACATCCTTTCATGCACTGTATAAAGAGTTAAAGATGGAAGCCTTATTTTTCTTCCACCCCCTTTCATTTTTCTCTCACTCATTGCCACCCCTGCACCATCCAATTATCCTCCTATCACCCTTCCAACACTTCAACCTGACCCCCCTCCACCTTCCTCACAAGGGAAAGACCAGAAACCCGGAGAAGGTGGAGTACTTCCAGCCTCCCATCAGGTTGCCTCGCTCCAGTCTGAGGTAGGCCTTGTCCCCCTTCTCCATAATCACCAGGCCGGCGTTAGTAGCAGCTTCTCTTGTCACATCCTGGTCCCCGGCAAAGGCTGAGATCATTGGCCAGCCGTTCAGCATCAGGCTGACCTAACAGAGAGCAAACGATGGGATTAGAGAGTGCATGTTGATCCACTGCAATGAGAACTGCAAGTGTCAGAGTTGAGGTATCGTACTTGAATAGTTTGTCTATTGTAGGCCTTTACAACGTGGAAGTTAAAACTGTACACGCCTCTTCTTGGTGCCAGGAAGACGCTGCTCTCTTGGTCAAAATGAGTGCCCACGTTCACCAGAATCTGACGCAACGAAAGAGAGGAAGAAAAAGGAGGAAGGCAAGATGATATGTGATTTACACATGAAAATATAAAGGTATGGAAGAGAATAAAACCCCTGGAAGACTAATGATAAACAGTAGGGCAGTGGTAAAAAAAATCCCATATATATACTCACTCCAGGGTCATTTGGGTCATTCTTTTTGTCCATTCAGTCTCAGGCGTCTCCCAAAATACTGAATCATGCTTTTACATTTACATTTCTAAAACAGCCCAGAATATCTGTGAAAACTCAGCTCGGCTGAAAGTCTGAAAGTTCGGTGTTTACCTCATTATCATAATTCCTCACTGTCAGAACTCAAATCAAATGTGCATCTCATTGCTAGAAGACTCCAATACTTGGAATACAGCTCACAGAAGCTGTGGGTGGGGAAAACATTGAAACTTTTTTTTTAATTATAGCTCTGTAAAAAATCTTATGTGAAATATAGTAAAACACAGTAATTTGTCCTCTCATGTCAATAATGGGCTTTATTTAAACAACAAAACAGCACCCTGTGACTGAAAGATAAGCAGTCACATACTTACATTATCAAAGTAGATGATCATGGTGCGGTTGCTCATGTCTGTGGGCTCATGGTTGGTCTGGCGGCTGGCGGAGAAGGCAACCCGGCCTGAGCCGGAACGGACCGACATGCCCAGGGCGTTACCGGCGGGCTCAGATGAAGGAGTGGAATCACATACGACCAAGCATTTCCCCTCAAGGATGATGGGCTCTGTGTCATTCTGGCCCCTGGACCCCAAAGGTCCCCACATCAGGAGCACAGACAGCACTATGGGGAAGGTAACTAACCTGGGATGCATGACTGAACTGGGGCTGTTAAGTCAAATATCTCTGATTGATTCTACTTTAGAGAAGTGTCACTTTGGACTTGAACTTGAAATGAAAGCAACCATGCTACGGTGAAACAAACTGTCTTTGTGAAAAGTTTCCAGACTTTACCCTCTTTGTAGTTTTGGTTGCTATCAGCTAAAGTACATTCATATGCTCCCAGGCAGCAAAAGAACCAGCAGATTTGTCTCAGAGCTGAAATATATTCAGAAAATACTCAGAACTGTTCATTGGCCATAGCTGTCAATCACTTCATTTCTGTCTCTGTCTTTAGTTTCCTTGTTTACCCCCACAAATCCCAAGTCTCTTCAGTGTCCTACGTGCTGTGTCGGCAGGGGCCAGAATGACAGTCACAAAATAACCTCTTGGTATTTTCAAGTGGATTTCTTCAGCAAAAAACCTGACAAGAGGGCAGAAAAGCAGAAGGGAAGAAAAGGGCTTGAAAAGATAGAGCGCAGCACAAGTGAGTGGAGATACGAGTTCAGACTTTACAGGATGAAGAGATGATAAAAGATGCTGAGGAGAGGTGAGGGAAAAAAACAGATGAGGTAAGATTCTGGAGAGGTGACAGGGAAAAGATGTAGGGCCCAGAAGGGAGTGAAAAAGAGAGAGGGAGTGGGGGAACAACTCCACTGAGTGACCATCTGTCTTTTACACGAACCCCCCCTCCCTGCTCAACACACATTCCCTCACACGACACACACACGCTCTCTCACTTTTGTTTCACACTTACAGGCACATATATAGTAGCTATACGTGGACAAAAATTTGTACTTTTTGCATTTTTTTTGTTCTCTCTCCAAGTTCAACAACCTTTCTGTTGTTCAACTCATAGAAATGAAACACAAGTTGGGGATTTCGAGACTTTTTTGACCTCGTGTGATGCCATTAAGTTTCAAACAGTACATTTTTAAATACCATCAATTTATCTTTGACCAAAATGAGCAACAACATGTGTAAAAACATCTCTTTCTGAGCTTTAATGAAACTTATTTCATTACACACAAAACCAGCTGTTTATTGGTTGGAGAAGGATTCAGATTATTGCAAAATGATCAATAATTCACCTTAAAACAAAAATTCTAACATGACTCAACTATTTTTGCTGTGTAGTACAATCCTAGTGTTTCAAGTAAATAGAAAATAGATGATCACCTGTTTCCGTTTGAACAATCCTGTATTCCATAGCAGGTGAAAAGAGTTGTTTCCTCCCAACCGGAGCACTGTAATATGGACAAAAATCCCTCTTCTCCTCTTCCTCTATCACATTATCTCAGAGCACGGCAGGCAGTCTGATCGTAACCAAGCCGGAGTGTGCTCTGATCTCTCCCTTTCTCTCTCTCTATCTCTCTCCCTCAGCCACCCCCTTTTCCGTCTGTTTCTTTCTCACCCTCTATGTTACATCCGCCCACTCACCTTTACAGTGAAATAAAGAAAATGGGAAGCTAATTGGGCATCTGAGCTGCTTCAAAGAGCAAAACTAGCTAGTGAGTGGCAGTTGTTTTTCTTATTTTTTTTTTTTAATATCCAATCAAATCAGTGGTTCCTTCTTGTGTGTCTTTTAAGCTGAGTTAAAAAGGGATCAAATTCTCCTTTTTGTTGTTTGTGCACCTAAAAGATTTACACACCTCCAATGCTTTATGTAGTGAGGTTGCTTCTTCTAAAAGACACAGGCTGGATTAGCAGTCTGTGAAGATAGATTTTTTTTGAGCGTACAAACACATAAACCAACCTGATGAAGATACAGTTAATTCCTAAAAACAAAGACATCATTTGGTATTCACAGAATTTCAGTCACACTGAGGTAGAGACGCTTAGGAAAGGATGGGATGAGTTAGTGTCCAGTTTCAAAAACATCTGACAAAATCATTTCTGGCATCAAAAGTTACATTTACAACCTTCTTTTACAAAGCTATAATATCTTTAAATCACCAGTCATCTGCATTTGTAATCATTTTTGGAATAAAAAGCACAACAAGCCTATTTCTGTCCTTTTTCAAAGGAGAATCTTAATTTGCTGTCCTGTCAGGATCCACTCAAATTCACTCATCCAAAGCGCCATTCTCACTTTTCTCTGCTGGAAATAATTTCCACGTCAATATCACCTGATCACAGTTTTAGGAGACGTGGTTTTGTCTCTTTGTTGAGGAAGAGCTCAGAGATCAGAGGGGAGAGAAACATCAGAGAGGCTCGCGACAAAAGTTCCATCAGAGCGTTGTGCAGAAATAAATCAACACCACTTTGTCTTGGCATGGCTTTGTCTAAGTTAAACCAGCTCAGAGCCTGTCAGCATTATTTTCTCCTCCTTTCCCTTATCTCCGCCTCAGACCTTGATGAAAGAGATGCGGCTGTTGAGCTCAGCTTTGTACAGTCCGAAGCCCAAGCACACCGGCTTAGTGAACGTGGTGGTGAAAGTGTGGAGGTGGGTCAGGTTGGAGGATGGTCCCACCTCGGAGAAGGTGATGGTGCCTGCGCCGTAGTCCACGGCGACGGCAACTCGGTTACCAGTCATTTGATACGTGAGGCGGGTCTTCCTGCGGTTGTGCCAGGCAGCCAGCTTCCTGTCATGCTGCTGTGTCAAGCTCCATGATACCTGGACATTTAAAAAAAAAAAAGCATTTCAATCAATTGGTTGAAACTGAAGAGGGTTCTGTTGTTCAGAGTCTCCTAACATATTGATTGAGATTGAGAATGAGTGGGAGTTCAAATGAAAAAAAAAAATTTTCAGGCCAGGGAAGCGTGGGAAAAGTGGTCAAAACATAGCTCTACAAATACCACTGGCATCAAATAGAGGTTTGCATTTATTTCATTTGTTTGTTTGACATGAATCAAACATGGCTAAGTGCTACCAACTAGAACAACTACTGTAGGCACCTTGTTGTTCCCAAAGGCCTTGCCTTCTTTCCCCTTTCGTCCAATACTCCGATAGCAGACCCCGATATCCCAAAATCCCACAGCCTCCAGCTCCCAGTAGTGAGTGCCAGAGGAGAAGGTCTGGACAGTTAGGACCTGCGGCCAGTGGTCGAAACGCTCGGGGTGAGTAGCGCAGGGCAGGCGGTTTTTAACCCGCGTCACAGAGCGAAGATCATCAGAGATGCTCAACAGAGGATGGGCTGTGTTAGTGTCCAGAGTCAAGGGACTGGTTACTGTATGACAGGGACATAAAACAATAAAGTAAATTCAGAGAACCACTAATCGTAAGTAAAAAGATTCCATATAAATAAATCTTAAATTATATAACAATACTTAATCACAGTTTCAAAGATGATGTTTTCATCCTTGACATTTGACATTTTTGGAAGACGCTGATGCAATGAATTTGAACAGTTAGTTTAATTTATCTAACTCTCATCAAGGAAGCGAATGAGTCAATTTCCCTGAATGACAAACCAATCTTTTAAGAAAGGTAAATAAATGGGACGTGTCACCCATCTGCCACTCACAGAGCTCCCTCTTTAGTTCACTGAGGCAGCGGAGGGTGGCGGTGATGAACTCCCTATACTTGCTCTCTACGTCCTCCAAGATGTGTTTCCTGTCCACACTGACGGTTTCAGGGATGAAAAGTGGGCTGTTCAGGTCGGCCAGTAACCTAGAATACAAGAGCACAACACATATTGCGAGAGGAACACATTTTAAGGAATCATTTTAAGGCCTGAGCACATACAGATTAAAGGCTTGTGTAGTGAAATAATTAATCTGTTCATTCCTCCCGTCTCTATCGCTATCTGCCACATACAAACAAAGACTGCCTACCTATACACACACACATCTAACATTACACAGTGTCACTGATTTATTCTGGACTTACTTTGTGTCATCTGATTGAAATGCCTGAGGAAAGAAGAGTGAAAGCCAGCTGAGAAAAACGATTCATTATCGGAAAGAATAAGTAACGTCCTTGTGAATCTGCCCAGTTAGGTAAGAAAGTAAACACAAGGTTAAATCCTCATTCAAACATCCACATCTGTTGCCCAGCACCTTTTATTAGGTAGATATGCACCATCTTTATTCCACAATATATGATCTTATACAACGCTCATACACATACTTATGGCTCTGTTCCATAGCTTGTAGTCTTAAAGTCATGTCTTTAGAATACAATAAATCTAAAATATGATGAAATGTCTACCATAGTGAAAAGCAAATGCATTTATTTGTTAGTTCACTGAATACACACCTTCTCAGCAATGAGAAAACACCATTTTCTTTATATATCTAATCTGCCATATAATAATCAAGCAGCAACAAATCAATGGACAGCATGGTAAATAGCATCCACATCACCAAAAGGCAACGTGTACATTCCTACATGATGAACTGGAAAGATTAAAAATATAACATGCAAACATTATCACATGCTCTTCTGAAACTGTCTGTTATAGATAAAATGTCTTACCACTAGATTAACACTACATTTTCTGCCAAGGTTAGAACATTTTTGGTGATTTCTCATAAAAGATTACAGTCTGTTCTCTCCTCGCTGGTTTGGGTTCAGTTGGACAATTGTGATTTAGTAACATTTGAAACAGGATCTGATGACAGTGAGTTGTTATGGTTGTCAATCAAATCTGCTCAAACTACACCCATACAGTACAGATGAAACAGATGAGCTGGGTTTTGGAGTGTTAAACTCATTAATATTTAATGTTAGAAAGAAATACTGAAAACAAGTCGGGGCTTTGAATTTTCCCTGTTGACAGCAATGTGAAGAACTCATCAAAATTGTCCTCTAATATGCCACATAAGACAACATGGGAAATAACAATATGATGTGTCAACACACAGGTGGAGAACCAAATCTTTAACAAACAATTGTCGTGCATATGACAAACAAAGAACTACATCTACAGCCAGGCTTGTGGCTCTGAGCTAAATGCTAACGCTAATTTGACAAAATGCTCACAATAACAATTTCAACGTACTGATATCATGTTTAGAAGGTATCATTTTTAAGAAAGTTCAGTTTAGCATTAACATTTTTCACATTTTGCAGGTATTTGGACATAAACCAAAGTATCGGAGAAATGGAGTTTGACCTTAAGATGGCCCTACACTTCATGAGAGGGAGGGGAATGTCAGTACAAACTTTAATGGCAATCCACCAAATATTTGTCGACACATTAGACTTAAAACTAAAAATGACAACCTCATTTCCACAACTGAGAGCACTGGATCATCATTATTCACAGCGGCTACCCTACTCAGCTATAATACAATTCCAATCATGACCCAGGTCTCAACAAATCTGGCAATGTACAGCTAGGTGTCTGTTCAGCACCAGGTCTTACCCAGATGAGCAGGAAGGGGTCTGTCTCTGCCAGCAGCGAGGCCAGGTAGTGCTGGATGCTCAGCATCTGACTCATGTCCTCTCTCACCTTGGAGCAGTCTTCGTGCACATGCTCTATGACCTGCTGTCTCTCCCTCTTGGTAATCTCCCTCAGAGCGGACACCAGCTTCTTCACCTGGAACTGCAGGTCTGAGCCCAGCCGCTCCACCTGGGTGTCATCCTGTTTCAGAGAGTCCTGCAACCAGACATCAAAGATTGGTGGGTTGTGAGATCAGTGATTGAGATATAATCAACCGTCTGATCCATTTGAAAAAAAATCATCAGGAGAGTGGCGTCAGTTTGAGAGTTATATGTGGAAAGGATTAAAATCCCTTGTGGGTCATAACTTGGATAATACAACAAGTACAGAACATTTTTGAGAGAGTCATCATGTTGCATTTCCCCTGGAGTTGAACTAGTTCTACTTACAGCCATGGTGGAATCAATATTCTCATGCTCTTTGAGGATTCGCTCTCCATCTTTCAACTTCTCCTCTGCTTTTCTGAGCAGGGTCTGGAGAATGACCTGTGGAGTCACACATAAATGAGCAACAACACACTCACATGCACATTCAAACACAACATTGAATAGTCTTCCAGCTGACCTTCAGATCCTCTTCCACCTGTCTCAGTGCCTTCACTTTGTGCTGAGCGTGGTCGCCCTCCAGCAGACAGTCACCACACACGTACACCCTCTCATCAGCACAGTAGTAGCGCAGGATCTCTGTGTGTGTCGGGCACCTCCGCTGGGAGAGGTCCCCCAGCGGATCCACCAGCAGGTGAGTGCTAAACGCCGGTCTCTCCAGATGGGGTTTGAGGTGTTCGGCACACAACGACACTTCACACCTCAGGCAGGTTTTGACAGCCAACGGTGGCTGTCCTTCCTCTACCTCGGGAGGACAGCTATCACACAGCACTTCACCATGCTCCTCCTGACACTGGGGGCAAGTAAAGCGACTTTTGCCCTCACGCTGGTCGCTCCAGGCCTCGCGGATGCAGGGGGAGCAGAAGCTATGACCACAGGGCAAGGGGTGGGCTTTGCTGAAGATGTCTCGGCACACTGAGCAGGTTAGCTCTTCCTCCAGGGATGCCATAGTGAGCAGATGAAGGGTCCCTGATGTGTGTGTGTGTGTGTGTGTGTGTGTCACACACAAGGCAATTAACTAAACAGGAGAGGAATCAGAAACACACTGATTGAATTACATGCACAACTTTATAACAAAAGGCACAGATGATTTGGATTGTAGTCAGTGATTGTAACTAGACATCATGTTGTGAGCCTGTGCAACATGAAATGAAGGACAACATTTGCATAAGTTACGTGCTGCCGTTACATGTAAGAAGTGCTAATGACGACTAATAAGACAGAGATAGTATTGAGCTGGTGGGAAGTCCTTCTTTCACTCCAACTGTGCACTCAAACCAGTAATCCTGTCTACTGGGCTTTTGCCTGCTGTACTCTATGAATAGAATACTTAACTATGTAACCACTATTACTAGGAAATTGCAGGGAGGGTGGACAAAAATAACAGAAACAACCTGAGGTTAACTAACTTGGCCATTATAACTGCCATGAAGTTGAATTAAGAAACCATTAACACATAACCTGAATGGAGTTTTTACTGAGACAATGTGATGAAATTTGACCATATAAATTACTGAGTAAACAATTATTTACAGTAGATGATCAAAATATAAAGATAAATATAGCTGGTTATCACAGTAAGGATAAAGAGTTGTAACACTGACCCTAGGTGAGTGTAAACTCGACTCAGACCCAAGCACAGGGGATCAGGAGATCATCCTTGACAGATTGTTGGCCTGATTTACTCTACGTGTGCTCTGCTTTTACATGTTTAATCACCAACTCATATGTTTTCGTCTCAGCTGAATTTCACAAGAATTTGAAATGAATGTCTAGAACAAAAGTGAGATTTCATACCTGTTGGTGTCCTGGTGTTTGCAGGCTGTGGCCATCAGGGAAGCATGTGTGTTGTGTGCAGTCAGTATGTTGACTGTGGAGGCTAATCCCAGCACAGTCACCTCCCCCTCCACCGTCTGCTTCAACCATGCCACCGGACTCAGAGAGGTCACATAGCCCTGAGGTGTCCTGAGGAAAATTATTAGGTAACTTTGCAGTAAATGTTTCCCATTAAGGGCACAGCACAATAATTGGCCTTTGCTCTCAGAAGACTTATTTATTTCTAGTGAATACTGTTTGTACACCCTTTAAACCACTCTGACATCAACTAATTGTTTTTGTATTGTCAAGCTTTTTCTTTTTACTTCATCTTTTGGAGCTGCATAACAGAGGCCCTACTTAACAAATATATGACATTGTGAGTGGAAAAAAACCTTTTCCCTCTGTCTGTTGATGTCACAGTTTTCCCGATTGCTGTCTCTGGGCAAGGACATCTACAGTATTGCTGCAATGACACTGGGTTACTTTCACTTACTTGCTAAATTATTGTACATTTCCATGCCATTAAACTTCCACATGCCAGTTTCTCCATAGCCTTTAAAAAACACAAAAACAACCTGACGTTGACTTTGTCAACTTAGATAATCACGTGATAGGTGTACAGTTTCACAGGTGCCCATAATAATGTTTACTTCAATTTGCTATGTGACTACCTGAGAGGGAGGAGCTAGTATTTTTCCTTTTTTTAATTTTCTTTTCCTCATACCATTTAAACTAGTGTAAGTCTCTGAGAAACAGATGCAAAGTTGCAACTTGCAAGAGAAATGGAAAGTGACAGTGCCGAAGAAAAAAGTGGTGAGTTATCTTAAATGTTTGATCGTTTAAGGAATATTATAAAGATTTTTTTATGTACACCAAGCTAAAACTAATGCTATCTAATACAACAGTCCTGCAATACATCCTACCTTTATGAGGATTATAATGTTCTACTTTTGTTAAAACTGTTCTAGAGAGGTGCTGGTTTAACTGTATTTCGGAGGCTCTTTGTGGTGCAGTTGTAAGACTATGCATGTTTGGTGTAAATCTCATTTATACCAATGAGGACGGACTAAAAATAGCTGTAAAGTTGTATCAACACCTCTCTAAAAGGGTTTCACAAAACACTGCACATTTTAACCCTCATGAAGGTAACATTTATTGTACCTCTGTTCTATTAGACTGTATTAGTTGTAGTGACGTTTATCTAATAAACTGGCAACTGGGTGCATCTGTTGTAATGGTTACCACTACACTTTGGAATGCAATTCAGCCTGTTTGGCCTCATAGTCTATGATCTACAAAACAAAAATGCCAGGCTTTATTATACAATTTATATTGTTCACTTATGCTTACATACATACGTTAATTAATACAAAAAAAATATTAAGTTGTCAACAAAACTGCTTATCTATAACAAATGAGACCCATTGTTAAAGTAAAGGTTCTCAAATTCAAAGTGAGTGTAGTTACTTAAAGCAGTACCATTCATGAATCTGGGTCTAAAACAAATGACTAATGTAAAAAAAAGATAGTAGTTAATTTATGGAAAAGTTGTAGTGAGGAAATGAAACTGGTAGTTTCAACAAGGTGTGTCTTGATGAAAGATAAAATAATTGCCACTGTGATGATTTTCCAGAGTTGTAAAACGCTGCGCCAGTATGATTACAAACTGCTGTTCAGTGTTTTGTTGCTGATAAGCTGTCAATCATGGATGCATTAAGCAATACAGAGTTTATAGTTTATAGAGTTAATAGTTGTATTGTGAATTACCATTGTTATAACATAGGGCTGTTTTAAGTCTTAACACCTGCTAAGAGTTTGCAGCCACTGCTCACCATTTTATTTTAGTATGTTTGTGTTCTTACATTTTCACTGGATATGTTTTGACCTGCTGGTGGCGCTCTAGGAAAAGTCAGGCTTCAAACCACACAATTTCAGTTAAAAAATCTTTGTGCTGTGTCGTGCTGTTTTCTATTGCTTTGTTTAGATTAATTTTTCTTTACTTTGAACGAATATGAATATTTCCTTTTTGCTTAATATTTTTTTCTTGTCGTCCCTTGACAGTCACTGAGAACTCAAATTGTTGCAAAGACATCCGCATCGTCCTCTTGGGAGGAAAATTTTGTGGTAAAAGTGAGACAGGAAACACCATACTGGGATGCGAGGGCTTTGACTTTGAAGATGAGACTGTAGGAAACACAGTGAGACACGGCGAGGTAGCAGGCAGATGGAGGGTGACTCTGGTGGAGTCACCTGGTTGGTGGAAGACCCTCTACCCTGATGAGACTTTGGAGCTAACGAAGATGGCGTTGATCCAAAGCGTGTCCCTATGTGCTCCGGGACCTCACGCCTTTCTGCTGGTTGTTGACTTAGATAGCATACTGGAGGAAAAGAGTGGGAAGTCAGTTGAGGAGCATCTGGAGCTTCTGGGAGATGGAGTATGGAATCACACTCTGGTTCTGCTGAAGTGTGGAACCTGGCAGCTGATGTACACCACTGTTGGAGAGTACATGGAAAAGAGAGGGAAGGTTCTTCGTAGGATTGTGGAGAAATGCAGTGGAAGAAGCCACATCCTCAACAACAACAATAAAAGTTCAAGAACACAGGTGATAGTCCTACTTGAAAAAATAGAGAAAATGGTGGCTGCAAATGGTGGAAAACTGTTTGAAGTGGACGCTGCAGTTGCACAAGATGTGGAGAGAAGAATGACAGATGTGAACAAGAAAGCAAAGGAGAGAGCGACAGAGTCCAAAGCTGAGAGAGATGCTCTCAGGGAAACTTACAAAGGTAGGTTATCTATAATCTGTTTGCCCATCCATGGAAGATCATGGATCTGTGATCCTGCTCTTTATTGTTCTCTCTTTATCTCTCTGCCAGATGAAATTTATCGTCTACCAGAGATCAAGCTTCTTGTGGCCGGCTGGTTCCTGTCTGGGAAAACTAGGGTAGCAGACACCATACTGGGCATCCCACTGGGAGAAAGGAAGAGAACCCACCACAGTGAGTTGCGACAAAGCCAGGTGGGTCGATGGATGGTCCAGCTGGTAGACACTCCTGGCTGGTTGCGGTTCAGCTCCCTCAAAGACACTCCAGAGATGGTGAAGCAGGAGATAATAAAAGGAGTTTCACTCTGTAGTCCAGGACCACACGCCATCATCCTGGTTATCTCCGCTAGCATCGCTTTCACCAAGGCCCACTTGAGGTCCATCAGGGAGCACATGAGTCTTCTGGCTCCTGATGTTTGGAGACACACTCTTGTACTCTTTAGCTGGTGTGACAGCATTGGAGGAACCACTGTGGAGCAGTTCATAGAGAGTGAAGGCAGCGCCCTCCAGTTGCTGCTAAGGAAATGTAACAACAGGTACCACAGCTTCAACATCAGGTCAGATGATCCGACCCAAGTGACAGGACTTCTTGAAAAGATTGAGTGGATGGTTGCAGAGAACAGCATCCTCCGTCTCAATGCCAATGAGACAGACAAGTGGGAAGAAGAAGAAGCTGTCACAGAGGCCATGTCACCACTAGGAGAGTCTCTAGTTGAGATGTTTGAGAATTTTTACAAAGGGAAGGAGGAAGACCTCATTATGAGCCTTAGGAGGATACTAGTCAGGCAAGAAGATACTCACAGCATATCTCAACCCCCAGAGAGTGAGTAACTCATTTCTTCAGAAAATATGTTTAGATTGATCTTTGGTAAACTATCAGACTTTATTTACTTATTTATAGCATTTTTCATGCAAGCAAATTGCTTCACACATTAATTAGGCACACCTTTTTGTTCAGATATTCATGGTCCCTAGATTAAGAATTGTAATGACTAGAGACCCTTTGACTTTTCCTCTAGCACTACCATGAGGCTAAAGTAAAATGTCTCAACATCTTTGATTTTGTACAAAAATCCATTCCAATCCATTAGGATTAATTATAATAATTGTGGTTGTACCACACTTCCCAGGGATCACTTGTCAATACTTAAATGTCTTTATGAGCTTCTTAGCACCAGGAGGACATATTTTATGGAAATACCTACAGTGTGGCTACACTGTAGGATGAATGATTATTGTGTTACTTGGTGTTGGTTATATGAAAATTGTATTGGTTATTCATTTCAAAATGCTAAACGTGTTATTGTGTGTTTGCTTTGTTTTTATTATATTCCACTAGTGTCTGATGAAGAGTATGAGTCCAATGAGAGGATGCTGTCTACATGGCTGAGGGAGCAGCAGTGTACGAGAGAAGATACGTCTGAGTATCATTCTGATCTTGAGTCATTATGGAGCAATCAGTAGTATCAGCAGTCGGAGATCAAGGAGTAAACATATGTGCAATATATTGTAGTGTATGTATCGATTGTAGCATTGAATACTTTGGATTCAAGTTAGATAATGACGTTTGTGTCAGTTTATAAGATAAAGCGAAAACTAGCTGAAACTAATGCAGTCTAATACAAGTGCAATGCGTTCATGAATGTTATAATGTTCCGTTTTTGCTGAAACTGTAACTTTATGGCCATTTAGTAGGGTTTGTGATGCTGTTGAATTGTGTTTATACTGTGATGATTTTCTAATGTGTGTAACACAGTTTAACAGCTCCACCAATTGCAGCTTCCAACTGATCAAAAAGTTGAATCAACACCTTTCTAAAACAGTTTCAACAAAAAACCTTTAAGAATGTAGGATTTATTGCAGGGTTGTTGGATTAGACTGTTTTAGTTTTAGCAAGGTGTGCCTAATAACTTGCCACTGAGCAACTTGTGTGCAATATTCTATGATATTTTTAAGCTGTAAAACTTTATGTATTATAAATGAATCATGTATCTCTCATTAATGAAAGTATTATTATTAGTATAAGTTACAGTGCATGTGAATTTCTGAATCTACAAAGAATGAAAGTGATTACTGATCTTCTTCATTTTAAAGGAATAGTTTGAATAGTTTGGGGATATGTGCTGTTCACAATACCACTTTCATGTCTGTCCGTTGAATGTACATCATATAATTTTGCTAATTAGAGGAGGAGTAGGAGTAAGCTGGAAGAGTTGTGAGTGAATGTTAGCTCAGCTTGTTTCTCTGATAACTTAAGCTCCAGATGTCCGATGACTAAAATCCCTCATCCGGTTAAAATACTTAAAAACAACCAAGATCTAAAAAGTGCATTGTGACTTGTGGAAAACGTGTCTGGAGTAAAAGTCACATAGTCTCATTTTAATATATTATGCTGTATAAAGAAGCATGTATGTGGTTACATCCATTGATCCTGTGTGACTATTTGGGCATAATAAAAAAAATAATAATAAAGTTTCCTTTGTTTCCATTTGAGCTATAAATGCATGTGGTTACTATTCAAACTGCTGCTCTGTCTTTTTGCATCATCTGCTCACTTGTTTTATCTTGTTTAGTATATTATCCCAGTGGCATAGGTGTGACATCTCCATTGCTTTTTAAACATACAACAAAAGAAGGATTTACTTTGTATGTATTCATAATGTTAAATTTAGATACTCCTGGTTTGCATAATTCCTTTCCCGTGAAATGGATGGATCAAAGGTCACTAAAAACCAGAGGCTGCTCAATGGAATGACACAGAATGACTTCACTGCTCTGCGCTATTAGGACAGGGAGGTGGGAATAATGCAATAAAACAAAGATGCAAAGGTAAGTAATTCAATGAAGAAACCTGCCTGCTTCTGATACATCTAGGTAGTTTGTAATATTAATGTATAGCTGGTGTTGTATCATTTAAAATAATTTAAAAGATAAAAATGTTTAACTTGGAAGCAAATTTGTATTGATATTGAATAAAGAATCTTCTGTGTTTTTATTTAGCCATTTTGTGCCAGCAATGATGTGCATTTTGACTTTACAGATCATTTGTTTTTTCTGTCAGGATGTTGGTAGGAAGTGACACAGTATATTATATCTGATGAGCACAACATTATCTGGTTCTCTGCTGAATGCTTTCTCACCATGAGTGGACACCAATAAATGGGAAACAGCAAAAAATACAACTTCACTGAGAAAAACTTCAGAGCTGAAAGCATAAAGGCTGGTACTCTACAGATGTCCAACAACAGCTCAATGACTCGGATACATGAAAATACTTCACTTCTCTGTGGTAAAGACCCTGTCTATTACACAAATACCCTAGGTATTGTGGTGGACTGGGTGATATTTCTAGTGGGACTACCAGAAGTCTGCCTGGCCTGCTACGCTCTCCTGTGTCTACTCAAGAAGGACAGGGTAGCTCCGATCTTCGTCATAAACCTGCTCCTGTCAGACCTCATGCAGATCGGGGTCACAGTTGTCTTTATCATGAGTAGGTTTTTTGACGCCACCTTCCATCCTTTCGTCAGGGCCCGCTGCATCGCTCGACTCTTTGTCCGTTTGGGCCTGACCTCCAGTTTGGGTTTCATGCTGATGATTTCTGCAGAAAGGTATTCAATGGTGGCATATCCAGTGTGGTACCACACAAAGAAAAATGTAAACATAGCCATCCTGATCTCAGTTTGCATATGGACCCTTTCGCTGACCTACTCCACTTTGGATTATGTCTACATGATTCACACCAGATTCTCCTTGTTGCTATTCTCCATCGTCTGCCTCCTACCTGCCCCATTCCTTCTGGCTCTCTTCACAGCCACGTGGAAAGCCCTCAACAAGAGTGCAGCCATGAGACATGAAGTGAAGAACAGGAAGAAAGTTTTGGGAGTTCTGAGTCTGATGTTGGGGACATACATAGTTTTGTTTTTCCCCTTCAGTTTCAGGAACCTCTACTACTCTCTCAAAGGGGACGACGCCTCAGACGCAGAGGACTCTGTCAGGGATTTGTTCGGTATTTTGACCAGTGCTCTGGTCTATCTTAGCCCTTTGATAGACTCTTTAATCTATATTTTCATTAGGCGGGACATAAAGGACACGGTGGAAGCGTTTCCCTGCTGCAAAACGCCTCTGAGGAAGCTCAGAGAGTTTCAGGACAGGCTAACAGACACTTCCCAGACTGAGACGGCCTTATGATTAATTCAAGGGAGTCTTCATCACACCCTTTTGTTTCTTAGGGGCACCAAACCCTTCAGTGTCTACAGCGTGCAGTGTAAAAGAGCTGGCTATAGTGCATAGAAAAATGTATGTTCCCTGCAGCTCTGCGAAGTGTTTTAGCTCATTATTTTGGTTTTACTGTCTACAAGTTTAAATAGACACACACATTGTCTGACCAACTGAAGATGCTTTTGTCTTAGACATTATTTGTAAATTTCAATATAAATGTCTTTGCTTGTTTTTTGTTTTTTTAAAATATATATGCATTATCTACACTTGTGGTTCATGTTATTATTAAAATGATCAGGTAGACAACAACATTTAAATATAGATAACTGAAGCTAATTGCAACATGCCTTTAATTTTTGTCTTTGAGAGACATCTAGTGGCTTTACTGATGTAAGACATAAACACACTTAAACACTTAACAGTGTCTGTCAGCTGCAGTGTGCAGGGAGACATGGTGGCGAGTTGATAAGACAACAGTCCAGTCAATATAATGATAATACAAAATAGAGTAAATTTCGCCCAAGCAAGAAGATGTCCACAAACCTGACTGCCTGACCTGCCACAGCATCTTTATTAGCTGACAAATTGAATAGCGTGCTGCTGCAAATCACTGACCTTCCACCCTGCACAAGATACACTCTAAAACAGATGCATTACACAGTGTAGAAGTGGGTGAATTGTCATCTGTAGATATATACATGCCATCACAATTAGGAAATGAAAAGTGAATGAAGAAAGATAATTTGTGCCATTTATCTAAATAACAATTTAGATTCAATGTAAAAACCCACTTCAGTTAGCCGTTTAGATAATTGTTTATCATCTTAAAAAAACACATGTTAGGACATTCAATGGGAATACCATAGCTCATCATGGGACTGTAAACACCATGCAGAACTATTATTCGCGTTATTAATTTCTATATGTTTTCAGTATTTTGGACCAGACTATGATGATGAAGAGGTCCAAGTACGTGCCATTGTCTGTGGAAATGGTTGCACTGGGTGACAATCAAGGTCATTTAGGCTTTTATGCAGAAGTTGTTAATGTGTGTTTCTTACATTATTAAGTCAAATACCCCAAACAGCCCATTAAAAACTGTAATGAGAAGTGCAGTGTCAATAATCCAACATTTAAAACTAATTCTGGTATCACTGAGACTAAATATTTTTGTATATTAAAATATGAAAAATATGAATTATGATTTTTTTTATGGTGGGTGTTGGGCAGGGGGGGCAACCCCCTGCACATCTGTCCAAATGTTAAATCCCTGATTGACTGATTCAGCCCTGCATTAGAGGTGTGTGTGCCCGGGCCTGCACTCCTATGTGAGATGCACACTGAGAGCCAATGTGGAGGTAACCGTGGTCACTGTTTCCCAGAGGACCGTCTGGCGGCGAGGGCCATTAATTATAAGAGACAGGGAGACAGACAGACAGCCAGCTAACCAGACAGACAGACAGTACCGCAGAGAGCGCAGACAGGCCTGACAGGCCCCGACAAATACAAAGAGAGGAGGAAGAGCAGCACGCACGGCCAAGAAAAATAATCCTCCCCCTGTAGCGAGTACAGCTATCTGCACCGCCCTGCTCCTCCTCCGGCCACTGGACTATGAGTAAATACATTCAGGCATAATAACCCTTTGTCATAAGAGAAAGAAACGCGATTTGCGACGGAGATAAATAATTGAAAAAAATGCGGTTGTCCGACTGCGCATCCCTGGGAGTGAATAGGGAAATGCTGCGCCAGTGTCCCGGCTGAGAGACGGAGCCGATCTTACCCAACATAAGCTCCTGAGCTTTTTCCCCCCTTGTCATTACACAATATCGCTGCCAAAAATCATCGTTTCAAACATGGTAAGTTGTTTTTGTGTTATATTTCAGTGGATTGTGTCGGCGACGAGCGGCCTGTGAGGGAAATGCACATCCGGGACTGTATTTTTTGTAGAAGTCATATTATTTTATGAATCATAACTTGTTATGATGTGGGAGCGCGCGTGGCGTGCAACAGGTCGCCGTACAGTAGCGGGGACGCGCATCTCACCGCCGTATTTTGCGCTTGTTTCCAAACATTGGTGTAAAACCGTCCGGCCGTCGCATACGCGAACAAATTGGCAAGATGGCACGAAAAATACGAATGCGTTGTTGGCACAATAGAGTTCGGGGTTATAAAAGCAAAGATATTCTCTGTTTCGACTGTTTGACAACTATTAGAGTTATCACTTCTTTCTCTTTGACAAAATATGATCGATTACGCAATGACGCGCATGTTTATAGCGTAATGATTTTATTTGTGATCATTTTATATTTTTCGGAAATCACTGCTTGGTTTGCATAGAAAAGTGTCCACAGTCCCACTTCGGAAATCACACAAGTCCGGCGTTGAACTGTCCATTATATTAAATGAAGAGGACTTCCACTGCCCAACAAAGGAAGGCCTATTTTAAATAATTCAGACACAAATCGTTACGTGATTTCACAAACACGTTTTGTGGACCTGCAGGCTAACATTCAGACTTTATATCAAATATATCAAACCTCGGATGCATTTTATTATTCTATCCAAGCCTGTGAGAGACAGAGAGTAGGTACGGGTGTCGGGGGGGGGGTTGGGGTTGTCACAGGGCCCGGGTGAAAAATTATTTTCCTCCTCACTCTGGCTGTGTCTTTCTTTCACTACCTCTCTCCACGTGGTGAGCAGTCGGGATGAGGGTGAAAAGGGAGCATTGTGTCTCCAGTCAGTGGCCTTATGTGTTGGAGAGGCTCTGAGAGGGTGATGTTCACTCAGCTGTGCTCCCTCAACGCCATTGTTGCAAATTCCACCTCATTTCAGCCGCTGTTTACTGAGCTCACATAGGAGCCTGTTTTGGAGGCGGCGGGATTATCGTGGAATCACATGCACACCCACCTGAGACTTGAATAGGTGTGTGCGAGTGCGACAAGGTGGCCTGTGACACAATATATCTGGTTTAATTTTGTGGGGGGAAAAAAAAGAAAATTAATTTAACCGAGCTGGCCTTGGCTTTTGCGCCCACCTGTGCACAGTTTCCTTGTGTTACGCACAGGGAGACACACGGTGAGGTTTAGATTTTATGGACTCATATCAGTAATCAAAAGCCCAGGCAAGGGCCATTATGTGATGAACTTGAGCGTCAGTGTATGAGGGTTTAGTAAAGAGAGGCAGTGGACTCTTGGCTCAAAAGAAGGGGTGTTCACTCGCCATTTGAATGCAAAGTAGTGGATGAACAAGTGAGCTGTGTGTGTGTGTGTGTGTGTGTGTGTGTGTGTGTGTGTGAGAGAGAGAGAGAGAGAGAAGGAGGGCCTACGGTGAGTTTTGAGAAAAGGAAGACTTGTCGAGAGAAACTGTCACATGGCACTTTAGTTCTGTTTTTCTTTCTCTGCACCACAATGCCACCAACGTGGACACGCTCTGTTGAGACTAATCAACCCGGAGGATCCATTGTCACATTTTTGGAGATGATAATTTAGATTTTCTTCGTTTTTTCCCTTTAAGTAATTTAGATACCTACTTTTTTCAGTGTGCAGGGAGACAGAATAAAAGTTGTGTGTTGGCCAATGCGCCCCTGCGTCGGTCCCATCCTGCAGAAGCATGTCCCGTCGGAAACAGAAACGACCCCAGCAGCTTATGAACCTGACCCTCGCTGCCTGTCGGATACTTGAGCATGGTGAGAAATAGACTATATATCAAAAGAATACTTATTATTCAGCAGGATTGGATTCACACTGAATGGGAAGAAGTCACTTTTCCTCAACAGGCAGAGATTGTGCCAGTTAGTGGTTCATAGTGTTAATATATTATTTTATTGTATATCTTTTCAGAAATGTCATGGACATGGACTCCAGACCTGTTTTTAATTTAGTTGATTAAGAGGTAACCATTTAACCTATAATGAGAAAGTATTTTCCACTAGAATTATCACAGTTCAAGCTGTTTAATTTGCATTTCAGAAATAGACTATATTTAGGGGAATGTTATGCTTGCCCACTAAGAAAAAGAAGGCTTGTTGGAATTATTGGCCTACAGAGTCTTTAATTAATCCTCTGTGGTTGCAGCCATTAACTGCTTTCTTTGCCCTGTAAAACCCAAATGTCTTCGCTCCTCACCACTGCCAGGTTCAAAGACACAGACCACCCAGAATAGGGGAATGTACAGTAAATCCCCAGAAAAATATTGGTAAAAAAGAATAATTAGTGAATTGCAAATGTGAATGAAAAGCAAGATACAGGTTCAGTAGGAGCAAAGAGATGAGAAGGTCAAGAAAAGGGAAACTTTGTGAGGCACTGTATAAGGTGTTCTAACTGCAATAGCATTAGACCCCATTGTCCCCTTTCAGCTTTGTTGCTGGGCACTGAAGCATGAACATACCCATGAAGAAGTGTGTATGTGACAGTGTGTGCACACACAAGTGTGTGTATTTGTCTGTCCGTCCACTCCAGATAGAGGAATAGGGCCACATTGTGTCATAAAATTGTAGCTTTCAAGCAAACAGCAGTAAGTTCTGTATGTGTTTGCATGTCCATGAACAACCCTGTGCATACGAAGTGTTTGTGTCTGTGTGTTGTGCATTGACAGGTATACTTTGTGTATGTGCTTTCACCCCTGTCCCTCTATGTCTTCCTGGGCTAAGTTAGCTCATTGATGGTCTGTGAGTCATCATGTCTGTCGGCAGGACTGTTTGTTTTCTTTGCACGCCACCTCGCTTCCTCTGCCTGGTCCGAAGCCGTATCAGGAATGCGACCTCAGAGTGCTTAAGGTCAATCTGCCAGCCAGTAAGGCACCCAATACAGTGTCCAGTACCCAACTAGGACCTAACCCTAAGCACCCCATTGGGCTACTGGGGGAAGGGCTCTAAAAGAGATGAAAGAAAGACAGATTGAATGGAGGAAGAAAAAAAGAGAGAGGGGCAGGGATGGAAGAGTGTCTTAGTGTGTGTGTGTGTGGCTTCTTTTTATTGGGGGGGTGAGGTAAAGTCTATTGTCTTGTGCGTGTTGCCCTGGAAACAAGGTAGGCTCCTCTACGGGTGAGTGCCTGTATGCATGACGTGTGTGTGTGTGTGTGTAGCGACAGTGGTGGGGAGGCAGCTGTTGAGGATAGTCAGGAAAAAGTAAGTGGAAATTAAACCCAGAGGTTAAAAGTCACCTCTTAGACAACTGAAATCTCCTAGACATCTAGCCACTTATCACTGCTTGTTTTTTTAAGTTGTTTTCAAGTCCCTTGAAATGTGAGTTTTTTACTTTCTAACTAATTCTGTTTTAAAAAAAGCAATTTTATAAAATATTGTAGACCATTATGTAAACTGTGATTACATTTAGATTTTCTTCTTCCAATTTCCCTAGATGACAACTTGGCAGTGAAGTCCCAATCCTTTCCATTTATCCTGGATTCTTCCTTGTGCTTTCCATCCTCATCCTCTCTTCAAAGCTCCCAGTTGCCCCTCGCACTCCGTTCATCTCTCAAGGGCTCTCAGACCCCCTCGCTACCCTCTGAGGGTCCACCGCTATCCTGCTCACCGAGCCAGCCCTCCCACCAGACCCTTAAAGACACACAGCCTTCCCTCTCTCCTGACTTCTTTCACTCTTGTCTCTCTTCCCAAACTCAACATCCACCTGCCCTTCGACTGTCTAATTGTAATCCTACGTCTTCTACAAGTTCCCTGATCATGGCCTCTCCCAAATTGGGGCTGTCAGCCACCACCACCACCTCTTCTTCCTCCTCATCATCCTCTGCCTCCCTATGTCCTCCACCACACCCTGGAAGCCCTAGTCGTGTGCCTGAAGGACCCCCAAGTCCTGTTACTCCCACTCCCAGCCCAGGAGTGACATCTGCCTCAGCTGCACCCTCTAGGGCCCAACTAAGTATTGCCCTAATCCTGGAGGAGCTGCGAGTGCTGCAGCAAAGACAGATCCACCAGATGCAGATAACAGAAGAGATCTGTAGGCAGGTGCTACGCCTCGGTGGAGCCTCCTATACAATAGATACACCATCCCAGCATCTTCTCCCTCCTCTGCCTCAGCTCTGCCTAGAAGGCAGCAAAAGGGCAGCCAGCCCAACTACTCAGCCAACAGCATCTCAGCCTTCGACCTCTGTGGCTCCTCTCCTAGCATGTTTCTCCTCCCTGCTCCCCTCTCAGGCAGCCAACAAACCCACAAAGCCAAGCAGTTCCTTGTCTCAGATCCTACAGCCCCACAAGCCCCAGATTGAAGGGACGGCTGGGACTCATGGTTATCTGAGGGTGAGTTCTCGATCCTCAGCTCCCTCCACCCCTTCCTCTGCCGCTGTCTCCATGGCTTCCTCTACCTATCCACTAGCCCTGTCTTTAGCTCTGCCCAACCGCTATCTTCATGAGAAATCTCCAAATACCACTTCATTGAGTGGGCATGGTGGCAGGTCCTTCCTAAACTCATCTCTCCCCACATCAATGTCTATGGTTCCAAACTCTCAACATGCTCTGCAATCTGTCTCTGGAGGAGCAGACTCTTCCCCTGCATCTAACTCCAACACTACTGGCCGCCTCCAACATGCCTGTCGTTTTTGTGGAAAGATGTTCAGCAGTGACTCTTCTCTACAGATACATCTACGCTCACACACAGGTGAACGACCCTACCAATGTCCTGTGTGCCTCAGCCGCTTCACCACACGAGGCAACCTCAAGGTGCACTTCCTGCGCCATCGTGAACAAAACCCAGAGCTTTCACTTTCACTCCTGCCACCGTCTTTGTTTGGGGTAGCATTAGGGGCCACTGGGGGATCAGATATGGGACAGAGCATGAGCAGTGGTAGCAGTACTAGTGGCATGAATATGATACAGAAGAAGCCAAAAGGCAGGCCTGAGGATGAAACATGTGGAGAGCATTTGGAGGTCGGTGGTACCAGCACTGGGTTTTCTCTGGGGGGCTCTGGAGGATCTACCCCTTCCGCCCTACCCCTGGCCCCCAGTGTGGATCTGGCTTTAATTTCCCACTCTCTCCTGCAGCTCAATAGGGCTGCAGCTGTAGCCGCTGCAGCCTCTATCACCTCTGGCTCATCCCACTCATCCTCCTCTTCTGCATCCACCTCTTCTCTGGCCACCTCCCTCCTCTCCAATCCGTCCTTGTCTTCATCTTCCACAATCACAGAGTTATTCAAGGGTGCCAAGCAACAGCACTTTGATGAGAACACTCCCCCTCATGCTCCAATGCTTTCTCCTGCAGCCTACTCCCAGCTAGCCCACCTGCCTAAGCTCCTTTTCCCATCTGTCTCCACTTCTTCCCCTACCACTGCTGCACACTCATCCCTCTACAACCATCCAGCCTTGGGCTTGCTACGCACCCCACTTCCCTCTACTCCAGGCTCCCATCAACTTGCTTCTTCCAGCCATTCTCAGCTTTCATTCCCTTTCTCTTCCTTTCCTAAAGTCCCAGGTCCACCCACCACTACTCCATCTTCCCTGCCTTCCTCCATGGCTACCTCCACTCCCACATCTGAAACCTCCAAGCTGCAGAGGCTGGTGGAGAAGCTAGAGAAGGCGCCTCCCCGCTCCTCTTCTCCATGGACTTCTTCCTCCATGCTAGAGATGTTATCTACCAGTACCACTACCTCTTCAGCAAGTCCAGCCAACAATCGTTTCACAAATGCCAGCACTTCTACCACTTATGTTATGGCATCCCCACCATCTTCGACTCTTGTCTCCACTTCTGTATCAAACTTCACCCATGAGATGGTTGCTGCCCTAGGCATGAGTGCCAATGGAGTGAGGGCCATGGCAGGGGGCTTGCTACCATCACTAGGCATCACAGGTCCAGCTGGCAACCTGACAACCAATCAGTGTGGGGTGTGTCTAAGGGTGCTGAGCTGTCCCAGAGCACTGCGTCTGCACCAAGCTACGCACCTTGGAGAACGCCCTTTTCCGTGTAAGATATGTGGCAGATCCTTCTCTACCAAAGGCAGCCTGCGTTCACATCTGGCCACCCATCATGCCAGACCACCCAATGCACGCGTTCAGAACTCTTGTCCACTGTGCCAGCGTAAGTTCACTAATGCCCTAGTGTTACAGCACCACATCCGTATGCACCTTGGCGGACAATTGCCCACAGATGGCACAGAAGATTCTGCACATGAGATTCCAGCTGAATCTAATTCGAAACTCTTGTCACAATCTCAATCCCAGTCCACTGACCCAAGTACTGCCTCTAGTAAAACACCTCCTCTAACAGGCCACTCTAAGAGCCCAGCCCCAAGCTCACAATTTCAAACTCCAGCAGTTGGCTCAGTGCCTGTCTCTGGCAGTATGAAATCAGTTGAGTTCACCAAAAATTCCAGCAAGTCTGGGTCCTCCAGCCCAGACCTCATTCCCCCCTCTGACCTTAGTCCTGACCCCTTCATGAATCCCACCACACAAACTCCACCACCAGGCAGTGTAGACCCCCCTGTTCTTTGTGTCAGTGCCCCCTTGCCTGCCTCCCAGCAGACAGATCAAGCTTCCCCAGTTGGCAAAGACAACCAAGTTGAACAACAAGCCACTGTCGATCTTCCTAAATCCACTTCACCAATTTCCTCCACTGTCACCAAAACCACAGTGTCATCTAATGCTATGGTAGTGGACTGTGTAGAGGATGAAGCATCTACCTCCTCTGATGCCTTCCTTGGCTCCAGGTCGAACCTGGAGGACTTACAAAGCACACCTACCCTTGGTACACCATTTGCTTACACCTGTCCCAGTACCTCCTCTAACCCTATCCTAACTCAAGATGTTCTTAATGTTGATGCAACAACCTTGGAATCAGGCTCAGTCTCCCCAAAGCCCCAGTCACCAGAACCCATGGAAGAAGATAAAGATCAGTCTCCTCCACCAGCAACACCAAAGCAAGACCAAGCAACTGTACCTGATGAGGACTCCGAAATGATGTCCACTTTGGAGACTGCTGACACTATTGATGCTGAAGTAAGGGGTGCATCACAGAGAGCTGCCACTTTTGTAAGGGAGACACGTCAAAGCTTTCATTTTGGTTCGTATGGAAGGGAAGACCGGATGGAAGGTGTTAAGATTAGTGGATTGGCTCCGAGTGAAGCACTGGATGCTTCTGTCCCCATCAGCCTTGCTCCAACCCTCCCATCTCCAATGTCTCGTCCTGAGAAAAAGACCTATTGCTGTGCTGAGTGTGGAAAAGAGTATGCCAGTCGCAGTGGACTGAAGGTGAGGACGTTTTTTTATAGCTATTGAGTATGCTATAGTGTAAAGCTTTTTTTTTTTTTAGGAGGTTTCAACAATATTTTACAGCTTTAGGACAGAACTATATCTGGGGACTAATATTTCAAAACAATTGGCATCTTAATCACGATACCAGAAGAAGACTTAAACTATGTTGAATTTAAAGTCCATAAAAATTAATATATAAAGAGAAAAGCTGCATGCACCAGTCCTAAGTAACCTTTATGTTCCCAGGGGCACATGAAGCACCATGGTGTGGTAACCAAAACAACACGTCCACCAGCCCGGAGTAGCCGTTCCTCCACTGACCAACTTCCTTCTTCTACATCTATGACTTCATTGAATATTCCTGCCACCAGGAGCTCAGCAGGCTTCTGGAACCAGTACCAAGCCTTCCTCAACACCAGTAATGAGCCAACTGATGACCCAACTGCTGGCAGCCAAGGAGAAGATGGGTCGACACGGTCTGTGAAATCACCTGTTCAATCTCAGATGGATCCAAGAGCCCATGATGAAGCTGAGGAAGAGTCTAGTGAAGGATCATAACTTGAGTGAGCATGATTGGCTGGATAATGATCTGATGTATTCAATCAGTGTTTACCTTTTGGTGAAACTGTATGGGCATTTGCGTAGTATTGCTTCCTTAACACATTTCAATTAGCCTGTCAGTTTGATAGTCAGAGTAAAATGTTTGTATGTGAAAGTTGTGAGTCAACCAGCTTGGTCTGTGTTAAAAAAAGAGACAGCTATTGTACAAATAGAGGTGAAAATATTCAAGAAGTAACAAAGTAAGTCCAGTTTTTGCTGGATTTGATAAAAAAAAAAGTGACACTACCTTTGTCTGGCTGAAGTTGTTAATAGTTTGATGCACATTCTAACAAAAAAAGAGTATCCCTGTTGTATCAATGTTTCATATCAGACCTGGGTCAAACAATTAGCAGTGTAGGGTTTTGTTTTTTGGCTATTTTCACTTTTTACAGATAGGATAGGTTTACCACGTTTGAACAAATTTGATATTATCTGTTAATTAGTGAGTCACAGAGAATTACACTAAAGAAATAGTTTCAAATAATTCTGTCAGTATGTAAACGCTTCGGGGCTCATCGTGTTGTGCCATGTACCAAATCTTATCCAACTGGCACCAAAGGAAGCCCATGCTAACCAAAAGAAAATGTCTTTACAAATGCTTCCCGACCTAGGTCTGTTTCATATCTAAAAGATTATTTACTTCAGTTACAGAGGGAACTGATATACATGAGCAAATTGGGTGAGTAAAACTAGTTAATTAGGTATGGTTGTTTTGCTTACCTAATTTACTTAACTTGGTATTACACAGCATAACTTTGTTTTGCAAGAGCAAACAAGGCCAACAAACTGAATGTTTCTGTGGGATATATTACCTTTTTTTCCCCTGATCTTGTGGTTAACATAAACTACTCATGTCATTGTGGTTTACTTTTCAGTATATTTGTCCTGTCAAACCAGAAGCACAGTTAGTGTTTGTGAACCCAGTGAGGACATGGTCTTGTGTGTGACCTTTGACCTTCAGCTTTGTGAATATTATGATTGTTGTTTGGTCCAAAAGTAATATCTGTAACACGTTTTCAGTTACTAAACTTTAAGTTAGTATATATATCAGAAGTCTGTGTCTGTTTGTTGTAAGCTGTACTTTCAGTATCTGCATATTAAAGTCTGATTAGGAAAAACAACATCTTGCTCAGTCATATTTAAGGGAATTTTACACAACAAAATATGTTGTATCTGGTTTACTGGCTTGTTTTCTGTAAACATAGATGGTATGCACACTTATATGCATTTGTGAGTGCAGTTTTTAATGTTCAGTAACGCTCACAGCCACATGTCCTTGATCTCTGCTCTCTACAAATACAATCAAAGCTCCACTTTCTTCTGTTAAATCAACCAGAAGGCAAGGGGATTGGAGGAGGCCAGCTGTCTTTACTCAAACATGGCCAACACAGCAGCTGAGCTACATTATGTGTGCACATAAGGTTGGTTACAGGAAACGTGTGTCTCAAGTCTTAAAAAACATCTCTATGGGTGTATTATTATAATTTTTTTTTCTATTTCTTTTTTTGTGGGCGAGGGTTATTGCCTTTAATTGATAGTGACAGATGTCACTGTGAAGATAGGAAAGGGGGGAGAGAGAGAGGGGATGACACGCAGCAAAGGGCCATAGGTCGGAGTTGAATCCATGGCCGCTGCAGCAAGGATTCAGCCTTGGTACATGGGGCACCAGCTCTACCAGGTAAGCTACCCGGGCGCCCCGTGGGTATTTATACATTTGTCTCTGTATGCATCTGCACACATAGCTAGTAATAAGTATCATGTCCACAGCAGCCACCTTATGTGATGTGAAGTCTATAGCTGCCATTACCACAAACAAATGAGTGCTCCCACATGCATCCCAGTAAGCCCACTATGTCAACTGACAAAGTGTGCATTTGGCAGTGGTGAAATGTATAGTATAATTACGTAAGTACTGTACTTAATATCTTTACTTGAGCATTTTCTTTTCATGCTACTTTCTACTTCTACTCCACTACAATTGGGAGGAAAATACTGTTCAATATAATAATTTGACAGGTCTGGTTATTTTGCAAATAAAGATTATCCCATACAAAACATATGAAGAGTTTATAGAACATGTTTTGTTATAGATTAAACTACAGTATACTACAGTGTACAGTATACAAGTAGAGCTGAAACAATCAATCAGACAATCAACAGAAAATTACGATTTGGAGAACCATTTAAGTAATATTTAATAAAATGATTGTTCATGATTCCAGATTCTCCAATGTGAGGATTTGTTGCTTTTCATTTATTTTTTAACAATTTTGAGATTTAGACTATTGATGGGACAAAACAAACATTGTGAATGTGTCACTTTGGGCTCTGGGTAACTGTGATAGTAAAATGCTGCTTACAAATTAATACATGTGTAATAATGATATAACACTCCCAGGAGCCTTCTTTTCTAAATTGAGTTTTACTTTTAATACTTTAAGTAGGCCTCTGTTTTTCTGTTTATACTTACATACCTATACTTAGGCAAAATTACTAAATAAATGCAGGACTTTTTACTTACTTGATATGGAATATTTTTACAGTGTAGTATTAGTACTTTTAGTAAAGGATCTGAGTACTTCCTCCATCACCTGTGTGTGGCAGCCTGCAGTTATAATCTGGAAACCAACCCATCACTGTCTTTACAAAGGCAGAGAACGGAGCATTCCACAAAAAAACAATCCCTGGTATATACTATAGGAGGTTATATACCTCATCTGACATGTTATTGCTTGAATGTATGTGAAACGTGTGCATTAGAGGGCGCAATTCCTCTTTTTAAACACAGTTTGATGCTGCATATTGTATACAGTAAATTTGGGCCTATTTGTGCAGCACTTATTAAGAATCAGTAAGAGAAAGGACTGTTAATCTGTTAAGTGGTAAATACATTCCGGTAAACACAGCCAGTAATAAATAATGAGCTCCCCATGTTTAAAACCTAACCAGGTGTAACACTATGAAAATATAGCTCAGCAATACTTGGATATTGCCTTAGGCTTGTAAATAAGGGTTAGGGTAAAAACAGTTTTTAAGGTGGCAGTAATGTCTTAGCAGTTGGGCAAATTGTATGATATGGTGAAGCCATATTTCTGTTCATGGGAGCAGATGATTGTTGATAAATCACCGTAAAAATGAACACATCTTTAAAATATTCTTACAGAAACTTAAAATGTGCTCATTGTTCCAAATCAAGTTTAGCTGCATACTTTGTTGACGAATTTATCATTGCGCTCATTTCTCTGTAAATAATAACAGCTTCATGCATTTCAGGGAGCATTAAGGCATTTAATCACAGCCTAAGGGTAAGAGCAAACCGTGCCAAGTCTAATGTGAAGGTCACCAAGTTGATTCCAGCCCTCCATGTCCGAGGGGCGGGCTGATCCAGGAGGGGGAGGTTTACAACCTTCTACTTTCCAACTAAAGGTCTCCGGGGAGTATCAAACTACCACGTCTGCAGCAAGGGGAGAGGAGAGGAGAAGAGGAGAGGGGGTCGAAATAAGCCGACTGGAAGATAGGGAAGAGAGGACAGCGAGGAGTTGAGACTGCTCCATGAAAACAAAGTCGGCTGCAACTTCTGGAGCAAAGAGCAGGCTGAATTTGGACATAAATACGCGCAGCTTGCAGCTCCAGAGCCCCCCTTCAGACTTCCTGCTTCCAGTAACGTTCGATAATTTGGTTAAAATTCCCCAAAACGCGACGAGAATGCACAGATTGGACAAATACCTTTCTTGGTTTAAGTAACTAGTTGCAGAGACGCACTGCTGCGTATCTTCTGGCAACTGTTTTTGTGTTTTGCGCCAAGTCGATCTCGGTTGCGCCCGAAAATTGCTTCGTTGGATACGTGTTTCCGCAGATAATGTTCTGACAAATAGCAAAGTCAAGTTTGCGCGAACGTTTACAGGAACATCAGATTTTTTATAGTTTTTTTTTTTGTGGAGAGTCAAGTGATGGCACCAGAGCTCAAATCGCTTGTCCGACTGCTGCTGCTGGCGGTGGTGTGGGAGCTGAGCGCACAGGGAGCGACGGAGCGAGCGATCAATCCAGAGGTGAGAAATAAAGCCAGAGGTGAGGAGTATAAAGCCACAGTAGAGGAATAAAGCCGAACAGAATCAAGCTATAAAGACTGATAAATGAATCCGAAATTGATGAATAAAGTTAATGAATAGGCTAAATGCAGAATTGAACAATAAAGCCAGATAAAATAAATCCAGAACCATTTGACCAAGCCAGATAAAAAAAAAATGCAGCATTAAGGGATAAAGCCAGAAAAAGAAATGCACAGCATAGGAATAAGACGGATAAATAATCCTATATCCAAAATAAATACTACTTGATAAATACATTTAGAGTTGAATAAAAAAGTTAAACAAATGATAATGTGAGGAGGATATGATAAAGAGGTCAGGATAAGTATAATTTAGATTTCAGGAGTTAAAGAAAAGTTTAAAGTCTAAGTGACACATATACTGTATTCAAATATGTAAGAGGATCTGCAAGTTTCTGAATTGACAAAAAAACAACTGATTGTTAAAGGTTTGTATCCTGATTGGTGGTAATTCCAGCAGTTGCCTGTTGTTGGTGCAGGGATATGGGAAGGGCTTTGACCCTGGGTTAGAGGAAGCAGCCCATAATGATGATAGCGCTCGTGAAAACACTGAGAAATGCTGAGGGGACAAAAACAGGAGAGCAAGAGAAAAAGCAAATAAGGAGAAATGCATGAGCATGTATTGTGGTCGGGGCAGAGCTAGAGGCAGTTTTTGTGGGAATGGAGGGGGGGATTGATAGTTGTGGGTACGGTTATATTCAGAGGGATCAGGAGATGTAATTGTTGACATCTGTCCTGAGTTATGGCTGAGTGGACTGGAGGGAGGTGGGTTTTACAATCTGAGAGGTTCTGCAGCATCTCAGACATGGTCAGTTGTGGAAAAACACTCTCCACAGTTTGAACTGTACTTCTGAGCTGAGGTACCAGGTCTCAGTAGTGTTACAGATCAAAGAAGACTTAGCTGAGATTTTCCTGTCCCCCTCTGGTCTGTTCTGTAGTATCAGCAGTCCTCAGACCCCACAGCTGGTGTAGCATTAGGAAGTTCTGTGTTAATGTTGCAGGAAGTGACATTGTTATGATACCCCTACACCTGCTTCCTTCGGCACATCATTCCTCAGTGGGCTGCCTCCTCTGTGGAGGTCTGAGAGCATTTTAAAGAAGTATCTAGTTGTCATTATGAATTCCCATGTTTTTTGTAGTCTGTTCCCACTGATATAGGCTACTAAATATAACATCATTTTTGTAAGAAAGGGAAACTATATAATATAATAGCAATTATAGGCTAATAAGGCCTAAATAAATAAATATTGATTATTTGATATACCAGGCCCCACAGTATGTCTGTAGAAAAATTCTGGCCCTTGAACAAATGTAGTTGAATACTGGTGGCCCGTGGAATAATCATTCCAGCTGTGCTAGGGGAAGAAAATGAGTTAACTCCATTGACCTACATAAGACTGTCAAATTCAAGGCACAGTCCAATTTTCACATGTAAACAAATCATTTGTCAAATGGCCAGACAAGTTCAAAATATGTATTGTAGCAAGTAATGCTAAGCAACTTCTAGGCTTCAATGAAGGACATAACTTAGATGAGACTGAATAGTTATTAACCATGAATTGAAGGTCGAAGCTGAAAAATGCAAGTTGCAAGTTATTTGTTACTTTGGAAGTAGGTTACGTCATATGAAGAGTCCTTTTATTTCCAGTTGATCTTTGTATATAAAAAAAAACGGCAACATCAACAATGACTCAATGAACAGAGTGTGCTGAACGTCCACAGAAGTAGAGAACATAAGTTATTTTAATGGTACTGGTTGGCCTTTAAGTATGAAGACCATCAAGTTTCTGTGGAAGTTTGCAGGGACAGGCTTCGTCTTAAGTGCCCTGGAAAGTGCGTTGGTTCAATAAGTATATATTCATTTGGTGATTCACCTCCTCTGTTTTTATGACATTTTTTTTAAAACCACTGCCTCTTGTGTCTCCTATTTAACTTAATTAAAATAGTGGATTGTTTGTGATCTCATATGTTGCTTCCACAAACCCAAAAATCAGTGCACAGTTCCGCCATGGT